AAATGACGTCTGCTAGCAAGTAAACAAAGAGGGATAACTCTTGACAAACAAATGAAATATGATTAACTGAGTTGTCTCTCTTGAATGAAACCAAGCACTTGATAGCTGGTTAGTGTTTTTGATACAATATATCCACTTAGACATATCCCTAAAATTCTCAATAATTTCTTGTCATACTATACAGGTTGGAGTTCACATAACAGTGCCCTTGGTCTTATAACAGCAGTCTGAGTAGTTACATTGGCTACATGTACATCAACTGTTCCAGGATGTTCACAGTTGTATTCAACAATGGATGTTGACACCAAACAGTCAGTCAGTCAGTCAGTTTCTTAGTTTTAACGACCCCTTCTAGCATAGCTAATTTCGGGGTCGGGATAGGGAGAATTTGAAAAATAAAGTCCTGATAATGACGTGAATAGTGGGGATATGCTGAGGTAGCCGCCAAAAAAATGTAAGGTTTTATGGGGCAGGGGAATCGGGTGGAGGGCTGGGTGGTTGGTGTGCTGGGACGGGGCCTAGCTATAGTATGATTTATTTGGAGTATTTATAGTTGGTTATGATTTGTGTGGTTTGTGGAAGAATTAGAAATTATTTGATAGTTTTCTTAAGTTGTTTTTGTGTCACGTGGGTTTTGTTAGGAAGGATAGTGGGCAGTGAGTAAATAACGATTTGGGATTTTAGGGTGTTTTTGTTTGTTTTTGTTTTTTGGTTTGTTTGTTTGTTTGTTTTGTGTGTGTGTTTTTTTAAATGTCTTGGGGGAAGTGCGTTTGGTTTATATCCGTTAGGAAGTTGGATGGATGATTGTGTCGCTTTTGTGGGTGGTGTTAGATTAGTTTTATGATATGTTTTTGTGATATAATTTATGATTTTTTTTGTTTGTATTTGTGGGGGATTGTGGGGGGATAGGAGTGTGTGGATAGTTTTTGTGTATTTTGCATCTAGTGTGTTGATGTACTGTATTCTATGTGGTAAGTAGAGTGTGCACGTGTAGAATAGGTGCTGTATTGTTTGGGGAACTTGACATGTGGGGCAGAGCCCAGTGGAATGGCGAAAGTTTAATTTTGTGATGCCTACATATGGCCTGTTTAGTGCGGATTGTATATGACGTGAGTTACTAGAAAGATTTACTTTATTGATTTGTTTATTTATTGTTTTGTATGTCCATGTGGCGGGGGAGGTGTGCAGTTGTTTGAAGTTTTCTTGGGTTATTAGTTTATTTATGATGGATTTATATTCCTGTTTGCTGTATGTCAGTGGGTAATTAATATGTTTATTTTTTGCTGCTTGTTTGGCCGCTTGATCTGCGTTTTCGTTTCCCGTGATCCCAATATGTGAGGGTTCCCATGCAATATTGATTTGTTTGTTCTGTTCTGTTAATGTTTTCGTTAAGTGTAGTATTAGGTGTAGTAGATGTGGCCTGTTTGTGTAATTTCTGTTTTAATTGATTGCATTGAGCTAAGTGAATCTGTGAGGATTAGAAGTTTGTTTTGTGTTATTGTCTCTGCCATTTTGAAGGCCATATAGATTGCTGTTTTTTCGGCGGTATGTATGGATAGGTGGTTTGGGATGCGTGCTGATGTGGTGGTTATGTTTGGTTTGGTTGTGTGTATTGCGAAGACTGTTGTGTGGTCCGTCGGGTTGTGTGACCCGTCTGTGTAGATGTATGTCCAGTCTGGCCAGTGTTGTTGTATGTAATCCATTGCCATTAAGTGAGGAGTGTCAACTGGAACTTGTTGGTAACCAAGTGTGTCGTGTATCAGTAGTGTTAGGCCACCATGTGGAGCGCTTGGAATTTTTGATGTGCGGTATTTGTTTATTGTGGTGTAATTTGGTATAGTGAGTTGTTTGTTCTTTGGTATTTTAGACTCCTGAATGGCTATTATTTGTGGGTTGAGCTTATTTAGTTTTATTAGTGATTTAATTTCATGGGATTTGGATATGATGCCATTTGCATTCCACTGGATTATGTGCATGATGAGTAGTAGCAGTAGGAGTGTGTGTATTTGCGTGTGTTTGTGGTGTCCCATCATAGTTTGATTGATTTGACATTGTGTTTAATTGCACTAGAGGGTGAGTGTATAGTGAGGTTTGGAGAAGACATTGGTGAATTGTTTCGATTGTGTTGTTGGGAGAGAGGGTTAGTGCAGTGATGAATTCTATGAGATTTTGTTGGATGTTTTGCTGTTTGATGATTGCGTCTTGTGCTGTGTGTACTGGTGGTGTTGTGTGTATTGAACGGAGGTTTGAGTTTGATTTAGGGGGTTTGGGGGCTACGTTTGTAGTGACTGGTGGTGGTGGCCCTGGGTTTGGTTGTTCATGGCTGGCTGTGGTAGCTGGAGTCATGGTTTTGCCTTTGTTTTGTGTTTGCCTACGACCCCGTGACGACGCTAGACTAGCAGAGCGACCTGAGCTTGGTGCTCTTGGCTTGGGCATCCTGGGTTGGCGGCGGGGTGGTGGGTTTGGGGGTGGTGGGAGGTCGTCCTCGTCGTCATGTGAAGATTCGTAGGATAAAGGTGGGGGGGGCAAAATCCCTGTCGTACCAGTTGTATATTTTGGAGTTAGGGTTCCTTGCAGGGGCAGGGAGGTCAGATGCTGTAAGGTGTTTATTTATTGATAGGATTTGGTTTTGGCGGACTGGGCAGGTGTTTGAAAAGGCGGTATGATCATATTGGTCACAGTTTATACAGTAGGTTTGTTGATTGCACTCAGTGCTGTTATGGAACTCGGAGCTGCATTTGGAACATCTGTCCAGGTTTTTACAATTTGATTGTGCGTGTCCAAAAAGGTGGCAGATGGTACATTGGACTGGGTTTTTTCTCGTTTTGTGCACTTTGCAATATATTGATCCAAAAGTAATTTTGTCAGGAAGTTTGGTTCCTTTGAAAGTCAGGATGATAGTGGAAGTGTTTGTTGGGGGACCTTGTGGGTTTCGTCTGGTGATCCTTAGAAGATTGGTGATTTGAGGCTGGGTTTGGAGTTTATTTGATTCAATTACGTAAGCTTTGAGGTCGTGGTCAGACTCTGCAGGGTCGGTGTAAATGACCCCTTTTGTTTCAGAAAGCCAACGAGGAGTCTGCCACGACAGATTGATGCCATCTATTGATGTTTGTTTCATTGCCACATTGAGGTCATATTGTAGGTTAAAGTTTATTTTGAAGGCTCTGCCGCAGCTGTTTATAAATTTGAATTTTAGATGGGCTTGCTTTAGTATAAGCCCAAATCTGTTTTAGGTGTACAGTGAAGTGAGTGGGGTGGGACCTGTATTGAATGCTAGAAGTACAAGATGTTGAATGTTGTTTGAGTTAGGTTGTGTACAACTCTGTCGTTTCTGTATCTTCGACTGCGTTTCGAGATCTTCGGGTGATTGTAGAGGGCGTTTTCCCCCAATGGCTGTGGCTGTGGCTAAGTTATTTAGTAGATTAGACTGGGAGCTGCGGGGAGTAGTCATTGAGATGCTGGGCGAAATTGGAGGGGATTTTCCGAATGTGGGAGGGATGAGGTTAGTGGGATTACTTAGATCGAGTGGAGGGTACTGGGAACTAGTGGAGATTTTAGCGGTGGTTGAAGTGAGTGAAGGGGAAGTGGTGAAGGTAGATGATAGTAGCTTACAGTCTTTTCTTGAGGGACGTTTGTCTTTCTGTTTGTCTAGGGTTGAAGTTGATATTGATGCTTGGGGTGTGGACAGCGGGCGGTCATGTCGGTTTTCCTGCCGATCGAGTGATAGCGTCCGATTTGCCGCCATGTTTGAAGTTCGAATGGTTGGCCTCCTTCAGCTTGATTTCAGCTGAGGCCACCTGGTTGCGAGCGACAGGTCCGAGGGGAGGAGGGTTTCTTAAAGCAAAGCTGATTACTGCTTCTTGCTGATCTTGGTGTAAAATGGGGACACGATCTATGGGGGATCCAATGTCGGGAGCGATTGAGCGCGAGCAACATGTAACCATGAGTGATTTAAATCGAATGACACTTCCCCACAGACAGCCCGGATGATACTCCGGAGGCGCGGACGTCGGAGGAGACACCCTGCTTGTTGTGGCTGATAGCTGCACGCTTACAAGCGCGTGTGCTTTTTCGTGTATTTGTATCCGAATAATCACTTCTTAATCAAGGAAAGTTTCAATTTCAACAATACAGTTAGGTAGTAAAAACATTTGGCTACATTTCGGTTACAATAGCAACGCTCACGGGTGAAGTTCAAAGCCACACGTGCTGTTTCCAATGAAGCGACCCAGTCTAAAATGTAGACATCGCTACTTTCAAAAGCACATTTTTAGCCTTGAGACTCATGTTTTTGCATTTTAAACGTTGCCTGTCAATTCTCAATATATCTAACTATGAAAGTAAAACACAACACTCATCAGTATTGCCTATGATAAGCTAGAACAAGCGTTCAAACAACGACAATGAAGCACGTTTTTCTGACGACTTCGCCATTTTGCAACAGAAAACATTTGACACTATATTTCTGGAGACATAATTTTGGTCACTTCAGTTAGAGTTGAAACTAACTTTGTCATAACAAGTAAGTAACGGGGATTTTACTTTCAGGAAAACAGTCTAGTAAGACGAGGATCTCGGGACACAAGCAGCTAGGGCGCGAAGCCCCGAACAGTAACATATATACATAGGTGTTTAGATCACTCGATCGGTCGTCACAGATTAAGTCTTTTTGCCTGTCTTAATAGCACGATATTAGTAGGGGTCTTCGTCGTTTGGATGTTAATATTACCAGAACAATATAGGCTACAATGCATCAACGAAAAGTGAATGTTTCAGACGAAAGGCCGGATCGAGTGAGCGAGTGTGCCGGGCCTCGTGTTAATCAGTGATCACATGTTTTTACAACGGCTAGATTTTAATCCCTGTAAATATACATCATAAATCAACAAACACAACATGTCTACTGAACCCGCTGAAAACGCGAGCATGCTGTTTTCATGGCAATGTCTGTTTACCAATGTGCGGTGTCTATATGTAGCTAAAGTTTGCCGATAAGCATTGTCTACGGCCATACCACGTTGAAAACACCGGTTCTCGTCCGATCACCGAAGTTAAGCAACGTCGAGCCCGGAGAGTACTTGGATGGGTGACCGCCTGGGAACACCGGGTGCAGTAGACATTTTTGCTATGCGATTCCCACTTTTTTTCTTTTTCGACCATAAGGTGCACTTGCCTCATTCACATCTGATGTAATCATACACTTTTATTTCCTTGTAAATGGCCCCACTCATGCATGTCTGCTCAAAGACATAGCTGCCAGCCATGTATTCTTACATACCTTTACAGAAAGGACTTTTCCACTATACATGTGATCATATTCAGTTGTCCGTTCACCAAACTCGTCAACTATTCTGAAGGCATGTACGTCCTTTTCGCCACATAAAGGTGTTTGTGTGCACCGATAATTGACTATTTTACTTACTTTCTTACTTTCAAAGCATGAATATATAATATATACATGTAAAATTATAATGTTGTTCGTGTTAAGTCTCGGCTCACATCTCTTTGCCTACACAGATAAGAAAAGGAGAAAGAGTTAGATCGTACAGAGCGCCTGTCAATAGGAGTTCACTGGCTTGCTGCTGGAAAATGTATTTTGAAAGCTGTGAGCAAGCTGATCACTGTTGACACGCTTTACAAATATGAAAAGAAACGACGCGACTGTGTGATAAACCAGCTATTTTATGTTCCCCGTTCTAGCTGATCGCTTGCAAACGTACTTTAGACTTATTAGAAAGTATTTCCATACATTTCTCTCGCCATACAACAGGTAGATGTGACATGTTGCAGGTAGGGGGCTAGGCGAAACGCACACGACCAAGGGCGCACAACTCTTGACGCTCTATTTGAAAAGTCGTGCACAGGCGAGGCGTGTGTCGGTAAAACACCCCGTGGATGTCTGGCCTTTATCGCAGTTTTACACCTTTGAACACAACGTGCATGTGCAGCTACACACATAGGAAGTCTGCACTCAGTATATTATATATATCAACGACACTAATCGCCTCACTTTCCAACATACACCAATTTGGGGGGTTAATAAACAAGCATAACAACAGTTATTAGTGTGAAGACACATCCCCCCCAACCCCTCCCCCCCCCCCCCCCCCCCACACACACACACACACAATAAAATCCCTGACGTACCCTTATCATCATCACCTATGTGTGTTATGTGCGTGGTGGGTGTTGCTGCCACGTTATCTCTGTTATCACGAGAACCTGCACTTTATTACTGCTAATATACATATTTAGGCGCACAACTCTTGGCGCTCTATTTGAAAAGTCGTGCACAGGCGAGGCGTGTGTCGGTAAAACACCCCGTGGATGTCTGGCCTTTATCGCCGTTTTACACCTTTGAACACAACGTGCATGTGCAGCTACACACATAGGAAGTCTGCACTCAGTATATTATATATATCAACGACACTAATCGCCTCACTTTCCAACATACACCAATTTGGGGGGTTAATAAACAAGCATAACAACAGTTATTAGTGTGAAGACACATCCCCCCCAACCCCTCCCCCCCCCCCCCCACACACACAATAAAATCCCTGACGTACCCTTATCATCATCACCTATGTGTGTTATGTGCGTGGTTGGTGTTGCTGCCACGTTATCTCTGTTATCACGAGAACCTGCACTTTATTACTGCTAATATACATATTTATTGTTTTGTTATCAGTGTTTTCAAGTTTTCTTTTGGGGTATTTGGATGGCCCTGAAAAGGGCCTTTGGACCACAGAAATGTGGAGCGAAGGCGTGACAATGAGAGCTTAAGCCTTCTTTGGCTTGACTGCCTTCTTCTTGGGGGTCTTGACCTTCTTGGGTTTGGCTGCTGCCTTCTTGGGTGTCTTCGCCTTCTTGGGCTTGGCTGCAGCCTTCACCTTCTTTGGTGACTTAGCGGCCTTCTTAGCGGCTGTTTTGGGTTTCTTGGCAGCAGCTGGCTTCTTGACTTTCTTGGGGGATTTGGCAGCCTTCTTTGGTTTGGCAGCTGCCTTAGCCTTCTTGGGTTTTTCGTCTTTCTTGGCCTCGCCAAGACGGAATGATCCAGCAGCTCCAGTTCCCTTTGATTGCTTCAGTGCGCCGTTCTTGACTCCATTTTTCAAAGCAGTCTTAATGCGAGCATTGATGGCCACCTGGTTGTCACCGACCTTGTAGTTGGCCAAGATGTATTTCAGAACAGCCTGTCGGGAGGAACCACTCCTCTCCTTCAGGGATGAAATAGCTTTCTTGATCATCTCCAAATAGGTAGGATGTGCGGCAGCCTTCTTAGGCTTGGCAGCAGCCTTCTTCTTGGGAGTCTTGACAACAGCGGGGGCAGCAGCAGCATCAGCCATAGTGGTAAGTTTGAGTGGTAAAAATTCACGTCAGCTACGAGAGAAGCACAGAGAGCGAATGACACTTCCCCACAGACAGCCCGGCTGATACTCCGGAGGCGCGGACGTCGGAGGAGACACCCTGCTTGTTGTGGCTGATAGCTGCACGCTTACAAGCGCGTGTGCTTTTTCGTGTATTTGTATCCGAATAATCACTTATTAATCAAGGAAAGTTTCAATTTCAACAATACAGTTAGGTAGTAAAAACATTTGGCTACATTTCGGTTACAATAGCAACGCTCACGGGTGAAGTTCAAAGCCACACGTGCTGTTTCCAATGAAGCGACCCAGTCTAAAATGTAGACATCGCTACTTTCAAAAGCACATTTTTAGCCTTGAGACTCATGTTTTTGCATTTTAAACGTTGCCTGTCAATTCTCAATATATCTAACTATGAAAGTAAAACACAACACTCATCAGTATTGCCTATGATAAGCTAGAACAAGCGTTCAAACAACGACAATGAAGCACGTTTTTCTGACGACTTCGCCATTTTGCAACAGAAAACATTTGACACTATATTTCTGGAGACATAATTTTGGTCACTTCAGTTAGAGTTGAAACTAACTTTGTCATAACAAGTAAGTAACGGGGATTTTACTTTCAGGAAAACAGTCTAGTAAGACGAGGATCTCGGGACACAAGCAGCTAGGGCGCGAAGCCCCGAACAGTAACATATATACATAGGTGTTTAGATCACTCGATCGGTCGTCACAGATTAAGTCTTTTTGCCTGTCTTAATAGCACGATATTAGTAGGGGTCTTCGTCGTTTGGATGTTAATATTACCAGAACAATATAGGCTACAATGCATCAACGAAAAGTGAATGTTTCAGACGAAAGGCCGGATCGAGTGAGCGAGTGTGCCGGGCCTCGTGTTAATCAGTGATCACATGTTTTTACAACGGCTAGATTTTAATCCCTGTAAATATACATCATAAATCAACAAACACAACATGTCTACTGAACCCGCTGAAAACGCGAGCATGCTGTTTTCATGGCAATGTCTGTTTACCAATGTGCGGTGTCTATATGTAGCTAAAGTTTGCCGATAAGCATTGTCTACGGCCATACCACGTTGAAAACACCGGTTCTCGTCCGATCACCGAAGATAAGCAACGTCGAGCCCGGAGAGTACTTGGATGGGTGACCGCCTGGGAACACCGGGTGCAGTAGACATTTTTGCTATGCGATTCCCACTTTTTTTCTTTTTCGACCATAAGGTGCACTTGCCTCATTCACATCTGATGTAATCATACACTTTTATTTCCTTGTAAATGGCCCCACTCATGCATGTCTGCTCAAAGACATAGCTGCCAGCCATGTATTCTTACATACCTTTACAGAAAGGACTTTTCCACTATACATGTGATCATATTCAGTTGTCCGTTCACCAAACTCGTCAACTATTCTGAAGGCATGTACGTCCTTTTCGCCACATAAAGGTGTTTGCGTGCACCGATAATTGACTATTTTACTTACTTTCTTACTTTCAAAGCATGAATATATAATATATACATGTAAAATTATAATGTTGTTCGTGTTAAGTCTCGGCTCACATCTCTTTGCCTACACAGATAAGAAAAGGAGAAAGAGTTAGATCGTACAGAGCGCCTGTCAATAGGAGTTCACTGGCTTGCTGCTGGAAAATGTATTTTGAAAGCTGTGAGCAAGCTGATCACTGTTGACACGCTTTACAAATATGAAAAGAAACGACGCGACTGTGTGATAAACCAGCTATTTTATGTTCCCCGTTCTAGCTGATCGCTTGCAAACGTACTTTAGACTTATTAGAAAGTATTTCCATACATTTCTCTCGCCATACAACAGGTAGATGTGACATGTTGCAGGTAGAGGGCTAGGCGAAACGCACACGACCAAGGGCGCACAACTCTTGACGCTCTATTTGAAAAGTCGTGCACAGGCGAGGCGTGTGTCGGTAAAACACCCCGTGGATGTCTGGCCTTTATCGCCGTTTTACACCTTTGAACACAACGTGCATGTGCAGCTACACACATAGGAAGTCTACTTTTTACTTACTTACTTTGGAGATTTAACGTGCGCTTTCCGACTGATGCGTATTTCGCACACGGACCCGGCCAGGCCATTTAATGTGTTTCCGAAAGGGGCGAAGGTGGTCTGTGCAACGCAAGAGGGGGGTTTTAGGGGTTGCTTATATAGAATTTGGGAATTTTGAGATTTGGAATAGATGCCGATGGGATTGGGGAGGAGAACTAAGGGAGCTGGGTATGGTGGATGTTTGTTTGTTTATGTGATTTTGATTTGGTGAGTTATTGTGTTTTTAGATGCGTTTTATTAGTTCCGTTTTGATTAAGAATACGCCTAAGGCCTTGAAGTTTTCTAGTTTATTTTGTGGGTTTAGTATTGCTTCTAGAGTTAGAGCCTTGTTTAGATTGAGGGTGGTTTGTAATGCGGTTCGATGTGTTAGGTAGTGTGTGCAGTGGATGAGTGCGTGTTCTGGGGTTTCTGGTTGTTTGCAGTGTGGGCAGTTACCTGTAGTGTGTTTTTTAAATTTTTTTAGGTGGTTATTTAGGTTGGTGTGTCCTGTTTGGAGTTTAGTGATTACTCTGTCGATTTTTTTGGATGGATGGAGAATTTTGGGTTTGGTCAGTGGTTTGCTGAGCACTTTTTTGATTTGGCTATTTGAGTTTAGATATAGGTTATGCCATTTTTTGGTGATTTTTTGCTTGTTTACACTTTTAATTTCTGATTTTGAG